TCAGAGATTTGTTGGGTTTTGGAATTAAAACCGTAGAATAGTTAAGGGACCAATTTGAGCTTTTAACTTTTTGTTTTTTTTTTTCCCTCTTTCCGTGTTTATACCTTTGCTTAAAGATGGAAGAACTCATATTCGCAGGCAAGTTTCGTGATCTAACTTTTGCCATTATCGAAACTGATGTCATTTTTGGGTACTCCCATGGAAGAAGAAAAACGAGAGCAGAATCTGCCGACTCAGAACTAAATTAGGTGATTGAGGATGATTTTGAGGTGGCAAGGTTAAGTGAGGAGACTGGGAATTGGACGAATGTGAATGATTTTGATTGCTCAATTGGTGTTTTTTGCCAAAGAATGAGAGGGTTGAGAAAGTTTCATGTGCCAAATTGAAGGCAATCGGTTTTCTTGAGTTGTTTTTGGTTCAGGTAGTGTTTCTGCTCATATATGATACTAATATTTTGTGGACATGATTCATGTTTTTGGCTTCATTTTCTTGGAATGGAAATAGTAGTGCAAACAAGCATTTATTCTTGTCATTTGTGTTGTGTTGTTATTTCTTAGCTCTTTAATGAATGGGTTTATGTATGTCCAATGTTTTTTATTAGATGATGTGCGTGGGTGATCGTCTGCTTATTAAACCCCTGCTGAATTGAAAATGGAATGATGGTTTCATGATTTTTATTTTTTTATATGATGACCCATTCTTTATAGATTTACTTTCAATAATCTTGTTTATGTGAGCATCACCATCTTGCTTATAATATTTCATGATTGAAAATTATGGCCATAAACTATGGGTCATCTAAAGAAGTTAAGGATGTTACGGATGTCTGCTTATGTATTATCAGAGTTAAGAAGTATCCTGCAGTACTATTTTTGCATTTAAAGCCACAACCTTATATGATGTTTAAAACTTTTTGTCTATTGATCTTTAATGAAGTGCTTTGTTTTTGTTTTCGTAATATTTGGAAGCCTATCTTACCCTTTTCTTTCCTATGATTTGACGAAGTTGCTCCCTACAATGAAATATAAAATCTGGGGATGTCTTAAGTAGAAGTTGTAGGTAAAATGGACAATGCTTGAGGAAGTGAAAACTGAAAAAAGAGAGGACAGTGTTCTCTCCTCATTTTTGTTTGAAATTTTTGAATCAAACTGACACATGAGGCTGATCTCTTTGGCTACTGAAATGTTTCATATAACTTAAGTCTAAAAATTTAGGTTTCTTGCACTATCTTTTTTGGAATTGCATGGACTGTTCATAGACTAATAGATTAAAGTAGTTGATAGTTTACCTTTCATATTTCTCTATTTAACTAGTTTCACAATCTAAATAGTCCTTGTGCTAGAGGTTCAAGAAAAATAATTGGTTTAAGTAAAAATGCAGGCTATGCTTCACATTTCTTTGACCAGAACCATCTTTTTGTTGATTCTCATGCTTACCTGGACTCAAGAGATGACTACTTTCGGCTATCGCAGTACATATTAGTCAGTGGCAGCACAATTCCAGACTGTTGGTGAAAGACATTCAAAGATGCATTTAAATAATTTGCACCTCTTAGAATTTTCTATTCTACAGGAGAAGGTTTGGATGAAATAGGCATAGAGGCATGCCAAAATGAATAAATGATGTAAAAGGTAGTCACGTGGTACTTTTCTCTGCTCTATGTCTCTTAAACCTTCGGAAGCTAAAAGAAAATCAATCCTCTCTCAAATCTTGACAGAAAATATGTCTGATATTGAGGCTCAGACAGAGGTCTTTCTAATTTTGTAGAGCAACCAAGCATGAAAAAATCGATTTCTGTATATGATGATTTGGCATCTCCACTTATGACATATATGTTCAATATTTTAATCTTGTAAGGATATGCCTTCATAATAGTATCCTTTGTTGCTAGATTCTTGGAGTTGCTTATGTTTGGCACAGTATGTCTGTTTGGGACGCAATATTTCTACCCATTACAAGAAAAAAGCAAAAAATCATTACTGCAAGGCTCACAACATTAGAGAAAGATGATGTGCTTAAGACACTATGACGGTACTAGAGCCACTTCAGAAATGTGCAAGCTATTGTTCCTTTACAATTTGGGATATTCTGATTTCTACTAGCAGCCATGAAGGTGTGAACTACAATGAAAGCCAGATTATGTTTTTCCCTAAGATCTTAAATGGTGGTTTTGTATATTCAGTGACAGAGCTTGAAGGAGAAATATGCATGTGCCTTATTTGTAGTCAAAACTGAACCCCGGCCCAGTTATATCTATCTCTCAACTCAAAGCATTTCAGGCCTTTACTGCGTGTTGTAGTTGTGGAACAAGCAGGATACTATGATAGTTCATGTTTAACAGCGAAACCATTTACCAATTATTGTCCATTGTGCCTATGAGATTGATTCTACAAACTAGAGAACTTGGCCGCTTCTTAGATCAGGTATCTCTTCTGCATGACTTTTTTACCACTTTGCTACCTAGGTTATTGATTATATTAGCTAAAGTGCGATATTCACAAGGTAATGGTGCCATGTGATTTTACATAACAGACTGATCATGAGTTTGTTGATTTCATTGTCTGCATCAGTAATATATACAAATGAGGGATCCTACCAATCTTACTAAAAGCATTCCAACTAAAAATTGGATGTTTGAAAATGCATGAGTGGCTTCCCATAATTTATTATCAAATAAGGTCTTACTGAAGAAAAATCATTCTTTGAGGTTTTTATCGAGTCCTAAGTTTCATGTTGGCATATGTGCAAGTATGATAATGAAACATGCTTTTTCATCAAATATTTAATGATTTCTCTCTTAACATTGTCAAAACATGGATTTTTCCCCCATCAATATTCATTGTCAAAACAGGTTGGCAACATCAATCTTTTTGCAGTTCCCACCTCTTGAAGATCTGCCTTTCGGCCTGGCACCCAATGGAAGTTATAACTTTTAGTCCTGTCTTAAAGATGGTCAACTTTCTAGCTTAAAAACAGTTGTCTTTTACAATACCAGTATACGCTAGGCATCATTCTTGCTTTTTGTGAACACTCCTTTTGATATGTTTGTCTTTTGAAAGCATGATGCAAGACAGTGGGAGGCTATTCTTACTTTTATCAATTTTAAGCTTTCATGTACAGATGGATCTTCTCTGTGTCTTCATACACTAAACTGTTATTGGGATTTAAAATCGTGGTACTGATATACAAGCAGAGATATATCAAGTATCTATGAAGGTTCTGATTTCTGATGATAACTTGACTCTTACATTTGATTAAAGTTGTTCTGAAAAGAACAAATATTCTTACCTACCCCCACCATGTGATCTTTATTACTTTTTCAGGACTTGGTATGGTATAGATTCCTTATGACCATATCCAATGTTTAGGAGCGGACCATAAGATGATGTTTCTCTATACCCTACCCCAACCATGTGACCCACTTTTTTCATGGAACGTTTTTCTTAGCTGTTGACTTGATTCTCTTGTATCATATCCAAACAACGGTGATTTCTTGAAAAAACCCTTTTCTCTCCTTTGATAAATAGTCCCTTCTTGAGACAATAAATGTCACATTTGCAGGTTCTCCTGCATTCTAATTCATATTTACTCCCATCTTACTGCCTCTACACTTTCTGCATATTTGAATGGTGGTGTGTATTTGCAAGTATTTGCAAGATTGGCCTAATTTCTAAGGTATGCTCTGACATTTCTTTTATTTTGGTTGCTGTTATCAACCATTGAATAGCATGCTATACCTTAGTCTTTGTTTCTTGATTTGTACAGCTTTGTTTTTGTATATCATCAAAGGAAGTTAGTGGCGAGTTATTGCAGGGAGTTGGACTCTTAATTTTAACCCCAGAATTAAGGTTATTTAATTAGTAAATACCAATTTAACTAAACTCTTTTTGGTTTACATCTATACTGTTTAGCTTAATTATGGAATATCTAAGCAAGTTTCATTCGTGGATGGGGCTAAATCCAGGCACGGCTTAGTTGGTGGGGACTTTTCTACTTGATTATAGCCTCAAGCTTTCCTAGATGCAGATATGTCCTCTTGGTTCCTCGAATCTGTCAGATGCACTTCTCTACCTAATGGTTGGTACCTGAGAAGATGTTTGGAATATAGTTTTT